CCAGGTAGTCCTGCACTATCCCTTCCAACTCCTCGGGACGTTGCCCGCCAAAATAACATCCACTAGTCCTCACAAAAAAATAAAGCACTCAAGTTCTCACTTTGTCGGTACCCCCCGTCCCACTCACGTGCTYYGCTGGTCCCACTRGTTCCACTTGGTGAGAGCCAATGACGMGCAAATACAAAAAAAATRGCGTGTCGTTTTCACCTTGATAATCCTGGTCCAATAWRCTTAYTGTATCGCCGTAATAATTTTGCTCCAAGTTACCCCTTCACCGACGTTGGCRGTGAGCYCCTCGAYGCACCAAAATTTATCSAGCACTTTTCCCCCACTTAGTACCGCCTGATGAACCCCAATTTTGGCAGCGTAACGCTGCAAAAATTATTGTCGTCGACTTCAGAAAAATTTGGCAGCATTTCCCCACAAAAGTGGAAAAACAGGCTATCGAGGTTTAACCTCCTGGTACCACCATCAGTGTGGTCCTAAAGTTCACTGCAGCCGCTCAAAACTTGCTGCCAAATTAGTAAAATTTGGGCCCTGGAGAAAATCTAGGCCCAAAGTATACTCCCACTGTGCCGCTTTGGTCCTTCAGCGTCCCTAGGACTGTCCCACTAGACCAACACTAACCAAAAGGAAGAGGAGCAGTGTGCTCCCTACGCTACAGTTGTCCTGCTCCTCTAGCGCTCCATTGCAGACCTCTATTTTTCTTTCATTTTTCTGATAAGAGGTTGGAGGGATACAACCCCTTTCAGTTTGATGTATGTGGCACTATTTCCTAGGGCAGAGACATCAAGGAAAATGTTGTACTTAGCCTTTTCCTTTTTGACCTTTTAATTTTCAGGCTCCCTTTAAAAATGGGAGTCTGACAGTTGCCTCTGGTAGTTTTATGCCAGAGGTAGCACCTCATGAGGAAAAGTGTCCTTACGAGAATACACTAAATGAAAAAAGGAAAAGGAAAAACTAAATTTAGCTTACACGCGCTTGCCCAATTCGTCAGCCGGGTTCATGTTATTGCATGCAACAACATCCCCCTCTTTTTCCTAAACCTCTCCCCTGAAAAAGGGGAGGGCAGTTGGCAGGTTGGGAGAAGTGGCTCTCCTCCTCCCAACATTTTTTTTTCTCTTTCTCTAACTCGCTCAGTCTCCCACGAGCACATCGTGAGCCGCAAGATCACAAATCTCGTGGTCACAATTATTTGTGTCATACGGGGTGGAACCTCACATGCTCCCATACAACCAAACTGACTGTTATTCCAACCACGAGGCAGTTACCTCGTGTTTTTATTTTGTTTTTATTTCCTAGTTGCAGACCGTTTATTAAAACGATCGCGCACTTAGCAACTTGCAGAAACGAGAGGAGGGGGGACAAACAATGTGTAGCAGTGTACATTTCCATGTTCTGGTTGAAGATTCATTCCGATTTTACTCGTCCTATTTATGGAAGTAACATGAGGCCTGCGGCGAGGTTGGAGACTTCTTGTTCTCTCTCTCTCTCTCTCTTACACACACACACACATACACACACACGCACACATACACACACACACACACAAGGGTAGTAGTATATGTTTCCATGTTCTAGTGGTAGATTCATTCGATTTTGCTCATCCTATTGATGAAAGTAGCGTGAGGTGAGCGGCGAAGTGAGAGACTTACCTGTCCGCAGATGCGTTGCTCATCCCATTTTTTATAGCCCGTTCTTTGAAGCGAACGGGCGCAGCGCAACTCGCAGTTCGTAAAAACGGGAAGGGGGGATTTAAAAAAAAAAAAAAAAAAAAATCCAAAATGAAATATAAAAACAAATCTTGATAAAAAAAAGAACTTACTTTCTGACGAAACGGTTGGCATTCACAACTATCCATTGGGGCTGTAAGTCCCCATCAATTTGTAACGCGCCACATGGCGCTTGGCTTTTAGTTTTTTTTTTTTTTTTTTTTTTTGGTAACCGTCGGCCTAAGCCAACGACTAATTTTCCTCCCCCGACGCCCTCGCAACACTTTCCTGGTCTGTTGAAAYACAGACAAAACTTCGATCCTCGATGAGATCGAACTCAGAAAAAAAACTTGGACCACTTCTTGATTTATGTKTGTCATCCTTGTGCAGGGGTCATCCCRAATCCACAGWATGTGCGGTCGATCTCGACCGCATGATSTGATCCTGCGGTCSGAATCGACCTTGCCACCACTCCAACTTTGTGGGCTGCTCCRTCAAAAGGAGCTAGCCCARRGGGATGTTTTGGCTTTGATCCCCGTATCCACGACATCYKAGGCTGGCATGTTACTGTATGGGTTARCTCCTACTACGAGAGTAGTAAGGGTTGCCCCTCCCTATGAAAGGTACCACTGCAATGGYTTGCCSATTTGTGGCCTAGGCCYMGCATGCCCGAGTTTTCATTGGGCTAGCTCCCTGTCTATGGCTTGGACGGGTGYCCTGCCAGATTGACCACAACGACGCTTAACACGGGATCAATCYGGTAAAAATAAATAAATAAATAAATTAGGCATTTCATTCTATTTMCGCGYCRCGGCCCCATATCCGACGCGRCCRCTCTTTTCGGCATACCTAGGCCATGAATCGCGCGGCTGGATAGGTCTTAGCCTTAGCATTCTCACCGTCGCGTGCCTCTGAGGCCCCACTAGATAAGACTGATGGCAACCATAAAAGTTGGAGTCTATAACTTTTATGAACCTTATACATCATCAAGTCTGAATAAAAGTTATACGCCATTCAGACTAGCCTATGACCGAGATCACAAAAAAATAACACGTGTGGTGACGGCGCGAAGTGCTCAAATGTGGGTACGAAACCGGTCATCGGTCCAAGGATGGAAAATAAAGACGAACAGCACCGTAGAGAGGTGGCAAGCGAACTGTTGTTGCCATTGACCAGTGAGAGGTCAGCAAAGAAGTGGCAGAAAATGTTGAGGGACCCTTGGTACTCGGAAATGTATGATATAATGACAGAGGGTGAAGCAAAGTCTCCCCAGTTGATAATCGAAGCACTAAGTGAAAAGTGAAAGTCGGGGACATGACGAGAACAAGAGAAGAGCAGACTGACATTAATGATGACGACGAATTGACCGTTGGTTTGTATGTTGAGGTCGTCAAAGGACGATGCGAGGAAAGTTCACTACTGCGGGCGTTTGTTACATAAGAACCAATGGCTTCACCAGTTGATTGGCCCGCAGTAGCCAACCTTCTCGCGGTGATGGTCGGGGACATGTTCGAAGTTTTTCTTTGCTCACTATTTTTTTGTTATTGTGACTATGCGAACCCGTGCCGCCTAACAATACGGATACAGTCATTCTGACGCACAAAGAGGTTGGTAACTTAAATGACGTCGCAGTATCAACAATAAGATCTTGGTTGTGCCTCTCTCTCTCTCTCTCTCTCTCTCTCTCTCTCTCTCTCTCTCTCTCTCTCTCTCTCTCCACCTCACATTGCTAACAACCGTTTTTTTTTTTTTTTTTCTTCTTCTTCTTCTTCTTCTTCTTCTTCTTCTTCTTCTCTCTCTCTCTCACTCTCTCTCTCTCTCTCTCTCTCTCTCTCTCTCAATGCGGCCATTACACTTCATGGGTGTATGGATCGACGCACGCCATTGCTAACGCAGTTGTTGTTCGTATTCTACTTTGATGTATGTAGGGAAAAAAGGGTCATGGCTCCAAAGTCAAAATACGAGGATCTCTGCAGGTCTTTGAGGGGCGTGGGAAAGAAGGACAAGGGGAGGAAGAAATGCAAGGCTGATAAGAAAAAAGAAAGGAGAGAGCATCGCAGAAGCAGATCCCAGAATGCAAAAACGGAGCGGACCAGCAGCCGCAGAAACAAATCAAAAATTTTTCTCCCATCACGTCAGAGGGGGATTTCAAAGCTGAAAGAACGCAATGAGTCACCCCCTGCGACTCGTGCCCCACGGAACCGTGCTAGCGGCGTCGAGAACCGTCCACCCTAGGCCCCCGAGAAGAGGTCGCGCAAAGACGGAATGTCTAAGGTGTACCACAGGATAAAGAAGAGAATCACATACAAAAAGGATAGAATGGTGGAGATGATCGATCTGAGAGCCTTGGACGATGTGCACAGCGCGGCCCGAGAGGAAGCAGAAGAGGAACACGACCAGTCAATATCAGAAAAGTCTGACAGGGAAGAGAACGAGGCAACAAGTGACGACGGAGGTGACACTCAAACTTCCGACGGACATTCTCGCGACACTCACGACGCTGATGACCAGGACGACAGGAGCAGCGACGGCACAACGCCGGACGAGGGCGGTGACGGGGCAGGCAAAGACGACAGAAGCGCGGACGGAAGAGGGAGTTCCCCATTTCCGGGAAGAACGCGACGCACGAGGGAACCCGAAAGTGGCGGCGAGGGAGGCGCAACCGACGCGCCCTCCATTGACAGACAACTAGTGAGGCACGACAACGCAGTTAAAAAAGGTAAACAAAATGTGCTGAAATTGCTCCTCTTGCACAACGATTACGTGGTGACGGCGCAAAGCGATGACATTTCCTTATTGCGAGGTTGTCGCTCTGATGAACTTACAGTTGAAACGGGGTGTCGAATTTGGCAGGTGCGAAAATGCGTGCGAAATGCGGAGTGCTTAATATTATTATGTGCGTTGTAATGTGTGTCTTCCAACAGATGGCACGGACTCGCAAAGAAAAGTGTGCGCGAGCAGGGGAGGACAACAACAAGGCAATCAAGAAAGCGGCGTATTCTCGAAGAAAATGAAGGACAGACTGTTCCGGGTGGTCGCAAAAGCCTTTGCGTTATCAGCAGCAAAGGACGCATTTCTGTACCCAACAGAGGATGAATTTTTCACGGCGCTGCAAACAACGGTCAAACTGATAGGCGAGAACGCCGAGGAAGGACTGCGATCACACGTAGCGGAGTGCGGGATTCGAGCAGTCATAGGGGAGTGCCACAGAATGATGACAACCGTGCGTGGAGAGATAACATGGCAACTGAAACATTGGTTCTGGGCTGAAAAAGGGATCCCGCTTGTACGATCGCAACAAACAGATCACCAGCTCCCTACTTGCAACAAGATGCGAGCAGAGATGAAGGAAAACAAAACGTGGAGACGGAGCGACAACGATCCTTGGGGCGCCCCAGCCATCAAGACGACACTCACCAAGGTTTTCCAGATGAGGAGGGGCGGCGTAAACCTTGGCGTGACCCTGCAGTAACTGGCTTTTGCAGAGATGGTTCTGCAATATGAAATCGAGCAGACAACAAAGACCACCAGAGCGGCGGAGCAAATAGGAAAATTGATCTCATAAAGCAGGACATCACATCATCTGTCCGCAGCCGGGATACAGTCATGAGTTTTTCGATCTTCAAGCTGTACCGTGCCGTATCTTTTGCTGAGAAGGCTGCTGCGCTATTTCGAGTTGGCGTGCCCTCTGTCCACAGGAGTGGGCCACACAACACAACAATAATGGATGACGATTTCGACTTGGAATTCATTGCACCGCAGCATGAAAGAAGCAGAGACGGGGAGAGAGATACAGAAAGTCTGTACGCCTGACCTTGAACAGCGGGGGGTGGGGGGGAGGGGGGGAGGGGTGGTGAACAGAATAGTGTGAATCAGAAGGTTCATTATGGAATCTGTGAATCAAAAGGTTCATTACACAAGGTCACAGTCATTCCATGGGAGAGAGAGAGAGAGAGAGAGAGAGAGAGAGTCTGAACCATAACACTTGAATAGTCACTTTACAACATATGGTCTGTTATTTATGATACACAATTGTACAATCCCTTGTAATGCTCATCTTTGTGTGATTGGTCATAGAGCGACTATGTTATGAAAAAAACACCATCCGTGGTTGTCATCATCATAGAGGTTGGTTAGTGCGTGTCACTCTCTCTCTCATGCCACCATGTTGCTAAATTTGTGTCACGCGGTAGTGAACCGTGCTTGTAGCAGGCCATCTCAGCATTTAATCGAGGCTCCCACACGCGTCCGTCCATAGAATGAAGTACGACAATCCTACAGACTCGAAAAGGAAGGTTGGCTACTGCGTGCCACTCTCTCTCACGAACTGCCATTTTGGTAAATTTGTGTGACGCAGTAGTGAACCGTGCTTGTAGCAGGGCAACTCAGCATTTAATCGACGCGCCCTCACGCGTCCATCAGCAAAATGAAATACTGCAATCCAGCACCAATAAAAAATAAAGGTTGGCTACTACGGGCCAATGTCTGTCTCGCACCGCCATGTTGGTAAATTTGTGTCACGCAGTAGTGAACCCTACTTCCAGCTCTCTCTCTCTCTCTCTCTGGCCCTCTCTCTTTATCTTCAGTCATTGTGATCGTTGCATGTCAGGAGTACTGAAAGACTCAACGATTGACATTTGCGAAAGAGCATATCATATCGTGCAGCAGGAGAAAATGACTGGAAGAAACGGTGAAAACCGACGACATGAGCCAAAAATAACGATTTTTTTCCCATACACAAAACGTAACGTTCTACGAAAGGTGAACACGTTTTCAACACGTTTCAACAAGTTTTCAACACGTTTCAACACGTTCTTAACACGTTCCAACAAGTTATTCACAAGTCTTCAACAAGTTTTCAATAAGTTGTCAACAAATGGTCAACAGATGGACCAACATCCTATCAACAAATGGACCAACAGATGGACACACAAGTTTCAGTGAGCCCAATGTTTGGTCAGCGTTGGTTTCCTTCACTTTTGGTGGAACACATGACCCCCCCCCTGCCAAACAATTTATAAACAAAGTTCCAACGGTTGAAATGTGGTGTCCACACGTGATCATCCTGCCAGAAAATTTGCCACAATTTTTCTGTTGTGCTTGCAAAGAAGATTGATTATGCCTATTTGGGATGAAGAAAAGGATTATCCTCTTTATACTTTTCGCCTGCCTGCTTGTTAAAAGGACTTGTTGTTCTGAAAAATATGTATTCAGTGTATGACGTAAACGAATCCGATTGAAAGAAAACAGATAAGGCCAAACGGACTTGGATTTTTCTCAAGGATTGATCCATTATATCCCGAATGACGCTATCTACCTATACCTGTCCAAATGTCTCGCATTCTTTATCTTCTTCGATTTATTTTCGTCCAAGCTACCCTAAACTTAGGGGAAATAAGAATAACTGAAAGTTACTTGCAATTGACACATCTTCTACCTCTAGGAAGCATCCTAGGCAGGGGTTCGTTACTTCAGGAGTCGATCCTGTTATCGACCCGGAGTGGACCGTTCTACGGAGGGGTACTTGCCGATTCGGAGGAGACGGTCCGACTTCTAAAATCTGAGTTTTGTGCTCGGACTAGGAGGAGGAGTATCCCATACCACTTCCTAGAGGGAGAGGCATGCGACATCTCAAGCAATGCCCCTGATCAAGAATCATACGAAAGGTAGCTTGTCATCCGACTCGGAAAATATTAGAAACAGATGAAGACAAAGATGTGTGTCTAAACCTACGTTGGCGGTAGGTGGAATGAATGACTTTGGCAACGCGTCTCATCAAGTCCAAACTAAGGCAGATCGACTATCTTGTCGGCTGCATCTATATTATTATCGATAGTCAATTTCTTGCTGAAGGTTGTATGATTGTTTTGTGACATTTGACCTGAGGCGGTCAGGTTGTTTTTTATCTTGTGTTGTTGAATGTATCAGATGATGATTTGGATTCTCCCAGTTATTACTTTGGGTTGAATATATATTCGTATCGACTACGATCGATTCCTTTTGATATATAATGTGTGGATATTGTAACTTTCTTTTGATTGTKTGTTAAAGGGACTACGATCAATGTWGGGTTCYACGCTTGGTTGAGACCGTGCTAGTCGACCGCTRTTGCTCTGCACCTAGGAGATCAGYGCCCTAGGAACGGACGACGTTCGGGTCCGCTTGGCGATAACCAAGCGTATCTATACTACAAAGAACGAGTAAACGCCCTCGGCTGACCTACCTCTGCAATTGCATCTAAAGCTTTCGCACGTGTGTCAGTAGCTCGGTAGGGATACGCCCGTAGGGGTGGTGACAGCCCCTTAGGGAAGGAAAGCTTATGCCCAACGAGAACCTATCCTGTCATAGGGGACCGCGGGATGTACAGCTGGCGCAACCGGCTAGAGCGGCGAAGGGATGACGCAACTGCGGCCGTCTTGGCGAGCCCCGTCCTGGTGGCTCGCAGAATTAGCTAAGCGTCGTTCTTAAGTTGTCTCATGATTTTTGTTTTGTATTACTCATGTGTGACATGGTCGGGAGGGCTTCCGCACCTTTGCAAAAAGGTTGGAGCCGATGCGTTCGACACCGCGACCACAACATGCGGTACATGACAGACACTAGTGCACATTTTAATAAGTCGGGTGAATGAAACACTCATCCCGCAAGCTTCTACCCTCGCATTTGTAAGCAGCGGATGCAGGGCCGATGCCACCCGTCGCCACCGCTCCTCCACATCATTCCGATGGCAATGAGCGCAGAGCCTCCTTACCAGGTCACGACACCTTTAAGAGTGCACCGATGTATGTGTGGTCACGAAGACAAGACGACAATGAAGTCGCAATCATTCTCCCCGAAACCCACGGGTTGAGGGTGCTGAAGTTGAGAGTCGAAGACCGGGCACCACCTCGTCCCTCACTTGTATGTCTGGCACGTCGTTATCTTTGACCGCCTGGCCAGGTGAGTATCTTTCTTTTTCTCTCACCTCCGCTTACTCCCTTTTCTTCTCCCTCTTCCTCTTTCTTCTCCTACCACTACTCCTCCCGCTACTTTTCTTAATGTCTCCCCCACACGCCACCTACTTCTCCTTCTCCCGTGTGCGCCCCCGTTGTCTTCTCCGTCTCCCTGCTTCTTGCAGCACTCAGCTCCGCGCGGTTTCTATGCAGCCCCCCCTCTCTTCTTCCTCTTTCTCCTCCTCTTCTCCTCTTCCTTTTCTCCTTCTTCTTCTTTTTTTTCTTCTTCTCCCTGCTTCTTCCTTCTTCTTCCTTCTTTTCCTTCTTCTTCTCACATACTTGTTTCCTCTCATCGCACAACCATCCTCCTCCTTATCTATTTCGAAGTGCCCCCCCCCCGTCTGGACTCCGAGGTTGCTAGCTCCCCCTTCTCGTGATCCGCTCTACTTTGTCCCTCTCCCAAGCTGTGAGCCAGTATCGAGCGGCGCTCTTGACTTCGAGGTCGGGATTCTTTGGGTATCGAGGTGTTTTTCGATGAATTTACCGCGGATCTCGCGACAGATTCATCAAGACAAACTATCTGAAATAACTACGAGTCAAAAAAAAAAAAAAAAAAAAAAAAAAAA